CCCGGGGGTCATGATTTGAACAAATTTGAATCTACACTACCTGAGGATGCTTCCATATAAATATAACTCATCATGGCTTTGCTGTTCTTGAGAAGAAGATTTTTAAAGGTTTTTCCTATATATTGCTATGTAAAACTTTGATCGTCCATTGTGGCCCCGCCCTACCCCCGGGGGTCATGATTTGAACAAACTTAAATCTACACTACCTGATGATGCTTGCAAATAAATAGGATTCTTCATGGCTGTGTTGTTCTTGAGAAGAAGATTTTTAAAGGTTTTTCCTATATATTTTTATGTAAAACTTTGATCCTCCATTGTGGCCCCGCCCTACCCCCAGGGGTCATGATTTGAACAAACTTGAATCTACACTGCCTGAGGATGCTTCCACATGAGTTTCATCTTTCCTGGCCCCGTGGTTCTTGAGAAGAAGATTTTTAAATGATGCTGTTAATTTTTCACAAATTCTCTATTATCTCCCCTTGAAAGAGGGCGTAGCCCTTCTTTTGAACAAACTTGAATCCCCTTCACCCATGGATGCTTTATGGCAAGTTTGGTTGAAATAGGCCCAGTGGTTCTGGAGAAGAAGATGAAATTGTGAAAGTTTACAACGACAACAACATCGACGACGACAACGACGACAGACAACGGACAAATTTTGATCAGAAAAGCTCACTTGAGCCTTCGGCTCAGGTGAGCTAAAAAGTCTTGGAATGATAAACAGCAGAGTGAAAGTGGCTCAGGTAGCGTTGTAACCCATGGGCTTCTTGTTATATATGACCAGATTCTGAAATAAGTTTATTTTACCGGGAATGAGAATCGAACCCGCGGGCTTCCCGATCGGGAAGCTCTAGGCTACTGCAACCGGTTACTGAAATCTGATCGCGCTTCTTGCATCTGATTTATTTTTTTCATTTAGTCTACTTATATAGTAACACTCAAAGGAATAAATTAATTAGGTAGAGAAGCAAGCGTTGTTAGAATTTGTAAGGAACTGTTCAGCATTATATAAGGAAATCTAAACATGACCAAACCGTCACATCTATTTGACACAATACAATTCGGGCGGACGCAGGCATACTTCATATGTTTGATTCCTGACTTAAGAACGGGAGATACCACATTTCATTACATATACACAAACATCCAATCAATATGGCATATCCCCAGAAAACGGTCAAGTTGATCAGTTAATCAGCCAAAAGGCCTTGTCAGTCAAATATGTGCGCGTTTCTTTGGTGTCATCTGTCGCTAACATTCCCCTTGGAACACTCTACTTTGTTTTCGACCTACCAATATAATTAAGAACACTAGAATTACACGACAGAGAACTAAGCTCTGAATACTACGAGAATTAATGAAAACTTATCGAAGTAAAGTAATATCTCCTCACTGTAACACAAAGTAAAACGTAGTAAGCAAATTGTTTTGTTTCTCTTCTAGAAAGGGGAAGAAAATTAAAACGAGAGAGAATGAAAACTAAAAATGAAAAACAATAATAAAAAAAGAATCATTTTTCGATAGCCCTTTAGAAAAAAAGTTTCCAAAAATTAGCTTTCAACAGTCTACATTTGAAAATATTTTGAAAAAACTTTTTTTTAATTTCATGTTATTTTTTTTAAAAAAAAATCTTCTGACAATGGAATTTATTTCCGAGAACTGCAAATGCTCCGTCAGTCTCGGGTTAGAGTGAAGAGTTGTCGCTTAATTGCTTTGTGATCAATTGTGAGTTATTTTTCCCGCGAGATTCGAGTTTTGCAAATACTAGAATCATCCCTTTAACTTTGAAAAAGAATTCAGTTATATACCAGGTGTTTTGTGAACCATATCACTTCCTAAACTAAGAAAAAGAATTCAGTTATATACCAGGTATTCTGTGAACTATATCACTTCCTATACTAAGAAAAAGAATTCAGTTATATACTAGGTATTTTGTGAACTACATGTATATCACTTCCTTAACTAAGAAAAAGAATTCAGTTATATGTCAGGTGTTTTGGGAACCATATCACTTCCTAAACTAAGAAAAAGAATTCAGTTATATACCAGGTATTCTGTGAACTTTATCACTTCCTATACTAAGAAAAAGAATTCAGTTATATACTAGGTATTTTGTGAACTATATCACTTCCTAAACTAAGAAAAAGAATTCAGTTATATGCCAGGTGTTTTGTGACCTATACCACTTCCTAAACTAAGAAAAAGAATTCAGTTATATGCCAGGTGTTTTGTGACCTATACCACTTCCTAAACTAAGAAAAAGAATTCAGTTATATGCCAGGTGTTTTGTGACCTATACCACTTCCTAAACTAATGTGTCTTTACTCCCTGGATTCAATTTGTAAATAACTTATTTTCAATATTACTGTGTTTGGCACCTACTTTTTTATACTGAGTGTTAATAAGTGCTAACATTACTAATTTCTCCACGTGCGACACAATGAAATGCTGTCTCACTCATTTGAAGTTCTATATAAACCAGATTCAATTTCAAGCAGAAAAAGAAACCCAATTCTTGCCATTACTACATGAACAAAAGCTTTCAACTGCAAGTCAGATTCGACTGTCAAAAGCAAAAGCTGATATAAAAAGAACATGTATCACCCTGCTTTTTGTGAAGATGAATACAATCCCAGTAACGTCCCCTTGGGACTACAATTAAAAAAAACAAAAGCACACAACAGAAGTTTCAGCTTTGATCGAAATACTAATTTCAGAACATGACTATGACTTAATCAGTTTTCTTCCGATTTGACAATTCTCGCAAATAAAAAACAATACAAATCCTCCATTTTAAGTGAAAGCTACATGTAATAGTATGTTTTTGATTGACAGAATGACAGAAATCCCCACATGTATTGACCTTTATTCTAAGGCTCCAAAGATCTGACAAAAGGTAAAACATGATCAGTAACGCCTCAGAATAAAGGTCTTGACTCTTAACAAAATAACAGTATAAATATATGAGATAATTGAAAATCTCTGTTATATCTGGTTTGATCGTGATCATTATCTTATAAGTGATTACGTTGGATCTGATATCAGCAACAGGAACATAAGAGGAACAAAATCATCATCTTCTGAGGTATGATTTCTCTAATACAGGATACACTCTTTATGTTATCTTTATATATAATACAAATATATCCCTTTCATGAGGTCGATCCATAGATATATCGACTTCGCAAAAAAAAGCGTCTGACCGTCATAAAGTGTTCGAAAGGTTTTTTATTCTATTATCGAAAAAGACTTTGTATATATATATATATATATATATATATATATATATATATATATATATATATATATATATATATATATATATATATATATATATATATATATATATATATTAATTTATTTTAAATGCTACTGGTATCCCGGTGGAGTCTCCTGTTCATTAATTAATTGTCTAGAAAAGTCTGCAGTGGTTAAATAGCGTGATCAGCTTCAGGAACAGTCACACAAGAATTGTCGGATCTTCTTTATTGAATTATAAAGATAACGGAATAAATAGACAGATCATATGTTGTTCTGAGAAATGTAAAAATGTCAGAGTATGTTTATCAAAGTGTAGTTGACTGGCAGTCAGAGTGTTCCGACACCTGAGCTTCTTTTATTAGAAATGGCCTCTTTATCACAAAAGCGCACATTTCCTCTCCTAGAAAGCTGAACTCTAATGGCCTCACAAGAAGGAGTGCTCCATCAAGATATTTTTAGGAATGATTATTCACAATAAATGTAATGTAAATCTTTCAAGTGAAAGAACTGAGTTATCAATAAGTCCAATTTACCAAATTTTATGACGCAATTCTAAAAGCATTTAAAACATTGGCTTGCTGATTTAAGACAGTGAAATGCTCATCCTGTTATTCTGTGATGTGTCTGACCAACTAAAATCGCGAGACAGATAGATATCTTTTGATATCAACAGATATTTAAGGGGGCGATACCGGTATTTAGCTTGCATGCAACACTTTGTATATTTCAATATAAATCCTGCTATTTATATCCACCTTACCATGCAGTCTTATGGATCACTGTTAATTGAAAATAACTAGTGCTTTCTCTCAAATATAAATTAAACTTTAAGTAAAAAAAACTTGAAATCATGATTTATCATCAAGTTAAAATTTTAAAATACATATGAAGTTTAATTCTTTCTTTCAATATGCTCACGGTAGCTCATTTGGTAGAGTGCTCGCTCCGTGATCGGGAGGCAGTGGGTTCGAGCTCCGGCCGCGACTGACCTAACGTAGCAACTTTTCCTTCGCCAAGCGCTCGGCACTTTGAAGTGAAAGTTGCGGATCTTTCGGATGAGACCTTATAAACAGAGTCCCCGTGTCACGGCAGGCGTTGGCACGATAAAGATCCCTCTCTGCTATATGGCCCTGAGTGCCGAGTAAAGGTGTGAATTTGAAGTTCTTCACCGGTATATGGTGACGTCTCTATATGAGTGAAAAATTCTCGAATGGGATGTAAACAACATACAATCAATCAATCAATATGCAATGTACCAATTTAATAGAAAATACTCGGCTATAACTTCTGAAAGATTGTTAATTGTAAGAAATTTTGAAAGAAAAAACAAGAATAAATCAATCTTAGAATAAATATAATAGACGTGCCACCTGACCCCTTATATTCAGAAAAAAGTAATTTCAGTCTTATTATAAATCCAATATTCTCTTATCTTAAAAAAAGGCTTCTTAATATAATAATAAGCATATTAATATTTTGCTGAGAATCGTTAGTAAGTGAAATTTCCAAATATTATTTCCCTATGGATTTCTTCGTTCCTCATTTTGACATATTGTTTTAAAGTGCAGCTTACATTTAATTTAAGAGCAGTATTATTCTTATTTCAGCTCTAAAAAATCCGATGATTCTAGCTCTGATGGTGAACTAATCAGGATTGGGTCTAATTCGTTCCGCGATTGGATCTGTTTATCTGAATATGTTTAGAGGTTTATCACTGCTCTCACGGAGCCTCGAATTGACAGCATGGAACGGCATGCATTGCTCGGGAATTTCTCTTACCTATTGAGATTATAGAGGACTTTGCTGTGAAGGTAAGAAAAATTTAAGTTAAAGGCCAAAAAACATTGACATATTAACATTTTAAAGTTTTTTTGGCAATTTGCATTGTAGACCGTACTGTAGATTTCATTTTAGTGGTTGATATTAACAACTCTTGATGACAATGCAAAACAAAAGAAAAAGAAACGAAAAAAACAAGTATTTTTTTCTTTCAAAATAAAAGAGGATGTTCAGATAGTTTCTGAAGAAAAAAAAACTACAGTGACATGCTTAAAGGGGCCTAGTCACAGTTGCATTGTTTAGATTTTAAATTTTTATATTTATTAAAAAACTAAATGCAGTTTAATGGAATAAACTTAAACTAATATTCTTAGAATTCAATGACAACTATTTTATTTTTTTACATCACGTCCAACATCTGTTTTTGTGAACAGGACACGAGCTCTTATTGGTAATGTGTACGTTTTACCGGGTGTATTCCATTTATTTACCCTACACACATCACTGAGCACGGACTGACAATACTGTTGATTTGTTTTTGCTTTCTCAAACTTCTACTCTGAATTTTCTGGATTATAGTTTTAATATTTTTCTTTAATACACAACAGAATTTCTACTTTTCTTTAGTATTAAGGATAAAGATTACTTCTTCGATGTGAAAGGATACGAGTCCCGAAATTCGTAGTTTCAATAATTTGCAGATAAAAAAATTTTCTACACACGCTTTTTATATATTTCGGCGTGAAATGCTGCAGCAGCATATAAATCATATTTTACTTCAAATTTTATAAAATATTAACATCAAATCTGTGTCCCAGCCCCTTTAACATGACTTTGCATATTTCATGCTTTGAGGTACATCTTCTGTCAGGTTTAATAACCCAGTGTAAAAAAATGATTACGTCTTCCATCACAAATACTTCTGATAAACGTAGCATTATCATAAGTTCAGTATTTTCTACCAACCAGATAGCTTTATTCTTAATACGCTCAAGTTCTACGTTTTACGTATTGCTTGAGATCAACTATATTTTACATTGTTCCTTAATTTAGTCAATTTTCTGGCAATTTTTTTCTTCTGTAATGGTAATTTTCTTTTTTTTATTGGTATTTATTTTAAAAGTAAGTTAAAAGGTCTTGTGAAAAACCGTTATCCAATTTTCTTCTTTATAAAATCTAGTAATATATATAAAAAAAAAAATAATAAAAAAAAAAATTAAAAAAAAAAAAAACACCATTTGAATGAAAAAATGCATTCAGTTAAATTCAAGTTTGATCCAAAACTCAAAACTCATTTTAAAAAATATTCCAGTAGGAAAAAATACTAGATTCAGTAAACGCAAGCTTGGACTGCATCCAGAAAGAAAATCAAATAAAAGCCGGTCAAGTTTATTCGTCGACAATGTACAACTAACTATCAATTTTCAGGATATTAAGAGGTTTTGCAATCCCATTATTTTCTGAACTAACATTTTCATTGTTTCTTGTGTTTATCTTGTAACCCAATTATACTTATTTCCATAATAATAACTGCACAGATACCAAGTCTCTTATACAAAGTCTTACACCTTTCTTCCGAAAGCTTTAAGTTTGTACTTGGATCGTATAAGACTTGTTGCTGTATAGACAAAGTTTGTTTAGCCTGATGTATTTACATTTGCAAATGTTTTCTTTTATATAACACTATTAAAAGCAACGCGTATTTATATCCGTATAAACACGGGTTCCTCGCGTCATAAAAGTTCGACGTAATTTCTCAATGCCGTCATAGAGGGTCGACGTGCAAGCAATGGATCAAATACGTGTCGTTGAGTTTGAAAAATAAAACTTTTCACGGGTAAAAAAATTATAATCAGGAAAAATATAAAATATGAATTAGCCATAAATGTAAATATAAGTAATAATGTATCATTTTTAAACATCTATCGGGATACGTTTAAAATGATACATTATTTCTTAAATAAAAGCAAACAGAAAGTTAAAATTATCTTTTGTTTTTTTTTCTTTGTCAAAATGTCATTGTAATCAACGTTTTTTCTTTGCATGGTCCGCCTCATTACCCGATACACGAAATACAAAACATAGCAGCGGCCAGTGTTGTCAGAGACAATCATGAGATTGACAAGAAATTCAAAGCACCACGACTCTCTGATTATTTGATAACGTTTACAGCTATTCTCATGTCAGCAGTACTACAATATATATTATTTTTCTGCTGGAACACTTTATCTACGCTGTGTTTAGGTTTAAAAAAAATCTTCCGTGCTTTATATAAGTACGATCATCCATCAACTAAATTGGCATCATTCTCTACTGACATGTACCAAAATATTTCAATATCAATATTGTGAAATCCGTGTTACATATTTCGCTGTATCATCCGTCATCTTTATTTCAACACGCAATTTTTTACCATCCGTTCAGTAAAGATAATTGTTTGAAATTGCAAAATCTATTATTCAAATTTACAGATTATCACTCTCAACTGATGGTGAATTTCAGTAAATAGGCTGGAACAGGCTAATGACCTATAGTTTAATAAACATAACATAATAGTATTCATTTTTGAAATATATTTACATATGGTTTTATGAAATAAGATATTGCTATGATATCGACATGCGGAAACTTTACAATAGCTTTAATCTTGCTGACTTTGCTGTTACATGTAAATTAGATATAGTTAGGTCCTATCAGAAGCTGTGTTAATCTCTTTTCAAGTACCTTCTGTGAGAATTATCACAAGCAGATCACAACACCTTCAGAACTTCGTGGTGTATCTTAAAAAGTAGAGAACGGGTGTTCAAGTCCTCTAATTTTGTAAGGTTTGCTAAATTAAAGATGATTCCGATAGCCATTAAATTTTCCTCAGAAGAAAAGCTAGATTCAGTATTGTAGATTCATGGTACGTTTACCTCTATTATACATGATAAAGATTAAAGAAGTCATTTATGCTTTAGTAATTATCACAAATTGTTTATTGTCTGATTAAAACAGAGTACTAAAAACTCAACAAGGTGTCGTAAACAAAACTAAAATTGTATTGATAATTGTTACACATTTTCTCTTAAACCATTTCTTACCATAATATTTAAAATACTTTGTTATGAATTGTTAATCGGATTTTATGTTAAGACTCTTCTGAAGAAATGTTCAAAAGTTCTGTTAAAGTGCTGATTTTCCTTCTGTCCAAGATTATGCCAAATGTTGGGTCAAATATGAAAAGGAAGATCTGAGCACTTTGGCACAATGGATCAAATGTTTTAGAAATATATTAAAGAATCGTATAAGAAATTTAAAAGGCAATGTGCGAACCCTCTTTCCTTCCTTTTTCACTATATTGGAGGTGATCAAAGAATTAGAAAGACTACATAAATAATATGTTATGATTCCAGCTGACAAGGCTTGTAACAAAATCGTCTTTGTTTACAGGGCTCATTATTTTAGAACTTCCTTTTAATTCAACTTTTGGAAATCCAACTTATACTCGCAGTTCACTTTCTAAAGATGAAATTCTTCAAAAACACATTTCAGTGTTTAATACTTTTAACATTCCAGTCAACCAAGGTGAGTTCAATTTACCCTACCTGTATTGGATTCCTAAACTTCATAAAAATCCTTACAAACAAAGATACATTGCAGAGTCAAGCAAATGCTCTACTAGTCTACTAAGCCCCTATCCTTACTCCCTACTACGATATTAACTGCTATTGAGGAGAAACTTAGGACATACTATGCTACAACATATTCTAGAAGTGGTGTACATCAGATTTGGATTCTCAAAAACTCCAAAGAAATGTCACAAAATTTTGAATAATAGTTTTCCAAAAGTCGGTAACATCAAAACGTACGACTTTTCCTACACTTCTTACAACCATTCCTCACGATGAATTAAAAACTAGACTTGTGATATCATGTATAACTGCTTCTTCAATAAAAATGGAAGTCGGAAATTTTCCTATCTTGTGATTGGTCATGAACGAAATTACTTTCCTAAAAATAACTCCGATTCTAGACACAGGTACTGTGAAGTTGATATTAAAAGGATGCTTAAGTTCCTAACCATCATTTATGTAGTCTTCGGAGATCAGGTCTTCCAACAAACTGTTGGAGGTTTGATGGGCACTAATTGTGCTCCTTTAGTAGCCGACCCTTTTTATATTCCTATGAAGAAGAATTTATTCAAACACTTCTACCTGAGAAGAAGAGAGCACTTGCAATGGCCTTCAACTCGATATATCGACGATGTATTTAACAATTATTACTTTAATTTATATGTCGATTCGATATTTCCCAGTGAACTTGAAATAAAAGACACCACAGAGTTTGCCACATCTGATTCATATTTGGATAATTTTCTGACTGTAGCGCCAACTCATAACTAACTGTTTGACAAACGAGATGAATTCAACTTTTCTATCATCAACATATATGTAGCAATATCCCGCTATCACCTGTATATGGTGTTTACATCTTCCAACTTATCCGAGACTCAGAAGCATGCTCTGAGTACGATCAACTTTCAAACCGAGGATGTTTAAAATGAAAGATAAGTCGATGTTGCATGGATTTCAACAACCTCCTTTAAAGTCAGCATTACGTAAATTTTATGGTCGTTATAATGACTTTGTTAGCACATATAACCTATCACTGGCTCGTATTTTGGCTGACTTGCTTCATACCAATTATTAGGCCTTTTTATACCGAATTTGACTATCGAATGTTCCGTCTACCCGATCAATACATAGGGCTCATGGCGGGTGTGACCGGTCAGCTTGGCATGCTTACTCCTCCACGTGGCGCAGCGGTTAGAGCGATCGCTCTAGAGTCTCGGAATTGATCCTTACGTTGCGGGTTCGAATCCCACTGTGGGACGTGGGGACCGGTCCTTCGGATGAGACCGTATAAACCGAGGTCCTGTGTCGCAGTAGGTGTTGGCACGAAAAAGATCTCTCACTGCTCAATGGCCCTGAATGTCGAGTATAGGTCAAAATTTGCAGCTCTCCACTGGCAAGGGGTGGCCTCTCCATAT